TTGACCAAACACAGCATCCTATCTCCCATCTCCTTGCTTTCCTTCATGCCTTCTCACCTCTGTCTCTTAGAATTTCTAGCTTCCGTCAGGGCTCAGCACAGGTGCTACCTTCTCTAGGAAACCTCTCCAAATCTCCACAATTGTTCCTAGATTCTACATCCCAGAACTTTGAGAAAGTTTACTTATTTTTGTGCATATTTTGTCTTCATTCTACATCATTCTTTTGAGAGAACATAAGCTACTTGAGGACAATGACTATTTTTGCCTTTGTATTTACAGGGCATAACAGTACTTTGCACATAGTAGACATTGAACAAGTAAACCTTTGTTGAAAATACAAGTCCATGCCTCAAATTCCAATTCATACTGCCCAACTGAGGCCAGTCTTTGCTCTTGCCAACCTTTTGAAAATAGGTGGCAAAAAAATTTAAAAACTGGATATTGTGAAATTATGACTATATTTGACCCCAAAGAAAAGATATAAGACTGTATCTTCCTAGTTTCTTGGCAAGGGTGGAGGACTAGAAGTGTGGAACATAATACATAATTTTAAGTTTCATTGATTCATTGGATAATTTATCTGAACTTTTTAAAAATTCTTTTTCCTAAGCGATTGCTTCTTGAGAGGGTTAGGAGAAAGAGAGATATTTGGAAATAAAGGTGATGGAAAAACAAAAAATGCTAACAAAAATGACAGTGGTTTATAACCGATCAGATTGTCAAAGATGTCCAAAAAGAAAAAAGAACATTGCCGATGGTGGAAACACTAGTTGAAGACAGAAATATTAATGTATCATTGGTGGAACTGTGGATCTGTTTGGCCATTCCAGCACAGTCACCAAACTATGTATATCCTTTGACTAATGATAATACTACCATGCCTATAACCCAAAGAGACTAAAAAAAAAAAAAAAGGAAAAGGACCTACTTGTAATATAATATATACGTAAACATGCATGTATAATTGCACGCATAAACACACACACACATAACCTCTTTTTGTAGAAGCAAAAAACTGGAAGCAAAAGGGATGTCCATCAGTTAGATAATGAACATAGTACATAAATCTAATGGAGTGCTATTGTTTCCTAAAAATGAAGAAAAGAATGGTTTCAGACAAAGCTAGGAAAACTTGTATGAAGTGATGCAAATCCATGAAAACAATTTTAAAATGAATACAAACAACTTGAAAGCTTAAGAATTCTGATCAATGCAATGAGCAACCATAATTCCAGAGGACTAATCATAAAGCGTGTACCCCCTTCTTGGCAGAGAGGTGATGATGAAAGATATAGAATGAGACCTACTTTTTTTTTTAATGGCTAATGTAGGAATTAGTTCTGCTTGACTGTGAATATTTATTACAAGGGCTATATTTTTCTTTTTCTTTTTTAATGCAAAGGAAGCGGGAGGGAGAGAAAATAATTACATGATATTTGAAAGAATAACTTAAAAAATAAATTAAATAAGAGGTGAAACATTAACAAGTTTAGATGATGACACTTGCAAACCTGAAGAGGCAGTCAAATTAACATGAATAAGTCAATCTTATAATCCTTGTCACTCATGCAGCTTTCTACCCTTTCCCTAAACCTTCCAATGTGATAGGAAAAGAAGTGGAAATAGTGATGTAGATATTATTGTACCGAAAATGCCTGGGGAACGGTCCCAGCCCTGTAGTTCATGAGGCAGTTTCAGAAAGTTGCCCTATCAGTTAATAAGGCTTATTATCAAAAACTTGACCAATATTAGAAGGGTGATTTCCAGCCAACAGGAAGGTACCAGGTATAGCCAGAGTATGCAAAACACCCAGAGATGGGGAGGAAGGGAAACAGACATACACATGGCTCCCTTGGCTGCCTTTTCAAAAGTCAAGGTAACCTGCAAAGGCTTACAGAAACACACTGTGAGTTTTGATATTCTGATAATGCAGCCAACATGCATTACAGAGTGGAGTGGGGGTGAGCGGGAAGGAAGTATGAGTAGGGGGTGTCTCAGCCTCTTTCCAAAAGCAACAAATACTGTTCCCAAATAATGACCAATCTTTTATTATCATGAGTAAGGCACATTCTCCTTCTTCATGCCTTCTGCTATATGCTTTTGTCTATGTACCCATAAAGGCAGTGTACCTTAGCTCAGGTGTGAAGAACTAGCCTGCTATCCTCACTTTCTCTGATGCCCCTGACCATGGTGCTAAAAACATAGAGCCCACTAATTTCTGTTTTGTTTTTGTCCATTACAACTTGAAATTCTGTATAGGTAAATTCGTTTGCACATATCGGAGTCTTGTACCTGGCTGTGTAATTACACTAGCACACAGAGCAGCCTGGTCTTCAGAATTGGGTAGAGGATAATTCTTTTTGAAGCACAAATGACTGAAATCTAAGAAGGAGCAAGACAAACTGTAATGACTACTGATAATAACTGCCTCCAAGAGATAGGATTGGTCCATTGCCTTTTTCAGTCATGCCTCTCTGCGATGAGAGGAATCATGGCATAACAGAGAAAGACCCGGGGTTAGGCCCTGCTTCTCACATTTGCTGATAGACATTCGGTGAGATGTTTAACCTTTGAGTGCCCCCAAGCAATTCTCAAAGACAATATATTACAGACTAATTGCAAACTGCGTTGGCAGAAGTAGAGCCCACACCAAGAGTTTCTTATACCATAGAAAGCACAAATTAAAATAAACTATATCCTTGAAGATCAGAGACCCTTATATGAAGAGCAGCTAGCTGGTTCAGTGGATAGAGTATAGGACTTGACCAGATAGACCTGCATTCAAATCCTGCCTCAGACATTTAGTAGTGGTATAATCCTGGACAACTCACTTAACCTTGCGAAGCCTCAGTTCCCCATCTGTAAAATTAGGATAATAATAGCACCTACCTTATAGGGTAAAGCACTTTGCAAACCTTAAAGCCTATGTAAATGTTAGCTACTATTATTGCCACCACCACCCTCCAAAAACAAAAGCTCTTGAAATTTTAGTTAAATATTTGAATACTTCCTCACTCACTTCCCCCATCTTCTCTTCAGGGTTTAATTATACCTAGAAGGCCAGACACAAAAATGATCATCATACAATATCTTTAGTATTACCTAGTGAAATTCCTATCCTCCATGTCACAAATAAACAGTGTTTTCTACTTCAGCAGCTGCTCTCCAGATATAGATGAGCCCATTCTATGGAGGCTCGTGAAGGATTCACAGATTCACACACTTGGGAGCTGTGCACAGAACGCCAGTCAAATATTTGCTGCCAACATTCAAAAGGTCATGAAGTCTGAGGCATTTTGACAATTTAAAAGCAAATTAAACCAGAGTAAAGGTCCAAGATAGGGTAAGGAAACAGTATGTGAAACAGTAACCAGTAGCCAATGAGTCTTGCTTTTGGTACTTTATAGGATTTGCTGCTATGTGGGGGATGGCCTTTGGTCTTATTAGCTGATCAGTGTTCTCTCTGGCCATGCCTGCTTTAATGTCTTTTAAAGCCATTATTTTAGCTCTCAGCACTCCAGACCCTAAGCACTTCTGATTCTCATACCATTTGCTAGCTGTCCTAGATAGAGAGGTTATTTGCATATTTATATGTCTTTGCCTTCTACCTACATGGATGTCAAGTTCCTGGATGGCAATGACTTTGTTTTATATGCTTATATTACCAAAGGATCTCTATATCTTTGATAACTGATTGGTTAGAATTGTGTCCAAGACTTCAGAATTTACTAAATAATAGTCTCACTTAAATTAGTAGAAACCCAATGTATGCAACAGCTTGGTGGTGCAGTGGATAGAACACCAGACCTAGAATAAAGAAGACCTGACTACAGATCTGGTCTTAGATACTTACTAGCTATATGACCCTGGGCAAGTCAGTTAACCTTGTTTGCCTCAGCTTCTTCATCTGTTAAAATGACCTAGAGAAGAAAACGGCAAACCACTCCAGTATCTCTGCCCAGAAAATCACAATTGGTGTCATGAAGAGTAGGACATGACCAAAATGACTGAACATTAATGTATACAAACAGTTAATCTGGCTAGGATCCAGTTCAGTTTGTGTTGTAAAGTAGGTTAAACAAGGCTTACTAATGTAGTTTAAAGTCACATTAATACTTTTAGTTTGTTTTCTTCTCTGTGGCTGTGGGAGAAGTTTGGGGAAGGAAGAGATATTGGAACTCATTTTTTTTAAAATGTGTGTTAAAAAAGAAAAGAGTTTAGCTTGACTAGTGAACACTTTCCTCTGAGAATGAGGGAGTGTGACTCATTGGAAAGAATACAGGAATTAGAGTTAAAGGACCTGGGTTCAAATCCTAACTCTACCACTTACTATTTCTGTTACCTGGGGCAAATCATTGGATTTCTTTGGGTCTCAGTTTCCTTATCTGTAAAATGCTGCTGTGGATTCTAGGATTTCCAAAGTCCCTCCCAATTCTAAATCTATGATCTTTGTTGTAAAGGGAAAGCTTCTGCTCAATTCAAGTGAGATTATCTTGAATTCAAATTAATGGAGTCCATAGATAATGATCATTATCCTTTTCCAAAGGGAGATATCCCAACACACCTTTCCCTGAAAAGTCCCTCATTTTTCTTGCTTCTCACTGTATAAATCTAAGACATACAGCTTGTCAGGTTAAAAGGCTTAGATTTACCAGCAAAGGTCAATTGACTCTGAATTAATGAATAGCTAATAAAATATACTTATTGCCACAGAATGTATCTATACTTATTTATAAATCCTTAGTCTTTCCACTATGACCAAAGTAAATGATAATCTATTTCTGAAATCACAAGAAACACAAAAATGATCTGGAGAAATTTATGAAAAGTTTTTGAAAGTTCTATAAGACACAAATCAAAGCTTTTAGTGTACAAATCAATTTTTTTCAACAGTTGTTTGAAGAGATAATCAGAAAAGGTAGGACTGGATTTATTTTAAAAATTCTAATTTAGTCTTTGGTTTTGTTAATTCCTCTTTTCTTCTCATTTCTGATGTCTAGGAAAGTCTTAGAAGACATATCTACTTGAATTCAATTCCGTCCAGTGACAATACTTCTGCCATCTATGGAATAAATCAGTTTTCTCATTTGTTTCCTGAAGAGTTTAAAGGTATAGTCTAATGGTACTATTTACTTTCTAATTATGATGAATTTTCTATGTCTTTGTGAATTATTTCAATTTCAGATTTATAAAGTGACATTGGGTAGAAAATTTCCATTATCTTTCAATTCAGTTCAACAAGCATTTCATAAAGATTTTCTATGTACCAGACACTATGATAAGCTCTGGGAATACAAAACCAAAAATTAGATGATGCCTGACTTCAAGGAGTTTACATTCTACCAGAGAGGAGAGTGGTAGAATTATCATTGTCATTTCTACATTGGCATCTTAGATAAGGATAGTTCTAAGCTCTAGACCAGAGGTTCTTAACTTTTATGTGTGTCAGAAGTTTCTTTGACAGTCTGGAGAAGTCTTATCGACCTCTTCTCAGAATAATATTTATTACCTAGATTCATAATTAAAGAAAATTCTAAATTTCATTTAAAGATTACTGAAAATAAAGATGCTATTTTTGTCCATGCAAGTTCACAGACCCTTTGAAATCTAGAACCTCTACTCTAGATTTCTCCAGCTGACTCTAAAATATTTGTGTGATCAACACTGTATTTCAAGAAACAAAATCATCTCCTCTGCATTTTAGTTTATGTTTACGAATGTTTGTTTGACTTTGTTTTTCTTAGACTCTTAGGATCCTAGTGCTAGAAGGGATTTTAGAAATCACCTGCTTCATTTTATAGAGGAAGAAATTGAGGTCTAGAAAAGTAAAATGATTTGCCCATGGTTACTCGTAGTTTGTAACTATAAAATGCAAATTAAGTTCTAGGAAAGAAAATAAACTCATTCTAGATAGAAAAAATTAGTAATCAATCAATGAACACTTATCAAGTAGCTCTTATTTGCAAGGCACTTTGCAAAATGATGGGGATAAAAAGAAAAAATATATAACTCAGTTGCTGTCCTCAAAAAAATTACATTCCTTAATTTCTACTTTAGGAGCTTCCCTTTCTTTGTTTCCCCTTTAAAAAAGCTAGCAATTGGAGCAGCTAGGTGGTGCAATGGATAGAGCACCAGCCATGGAGTCAGGAAGATCTGAGTTGAAATCTGGCCTCAGACACATAACACTTACTAGCTGTATGACTCTGGGCAAGTCACTTAACCCCAATTGCCTCACCAAAATAACCTAACAAAACCTAACAGTTCTTATTACGTTCCACCCACTCCACAAAGTCTTTCCTAATAAAATAAATATATGCTCAGCATTCATGCCCAATTGCTTTCTCATACTTTCTAAAATGCTGCATTTTTGTTGCATAAAGAACTTGAAAGTCATCATGAAAAATGCTCTCCATGCCCAGAGAAAGAACCAATGGAGTCTGAATACAGATCGAAGCACACTTTTTTTTTCACTTTCTTTATTTTTCTTGCTTATTTTTATTTTGGTCTATATTTTATTTTACAACAGGACTAATATGGAAATATATTTTGCATGACTACATATGTATGACCTGTATCAAATTGCTTGCCTTCTCAGTGAGGGTAGTGGGTAGGAGGGAGAGAATTTGGAACTTGAAATTTTAAAAACAAATATTGAAAATTGTTTTTACATGGAACTGAGGAAAATAAAATACTAATGAACTTGGGGGGAAAAAAAGAACGGGAAAGTCTGAGTAGCATGGTGGAAAGAATGTTGGATTCCAAGTGAGGCAACCTTAGTTCTCATTCTGACCCTGCCAATAACTGGTTTTATGACCCAGGACTTTTGCATTTACTTTCCCCTTCGTCTCCTTCCTCTTATTCCCTGTGTCTGTCTGTGTGATACTTTATCAGAGAAATAAAGGCCAGAGAGGCCTTCAGATTCTCATCCATAAAATAAAAGAGTTTGGTTAGATTATCTCTATGATAGCAAGCTTATATTATCCATATGTGGCTGTGGGTGTGAATTTTTTGTGCTCTTACCAATGATGAGTATAACAAAAGCTTGGATGTGTTTAAAAGAAAGTATTAGGGCCTGAAGAGTCATTGGTTCATGTTAAGTTTGGAGTCCACTCAAATTATTCAGCTTTTTCACGTAAGCTGCCATCAAACTGTGTCTAGTGAGGAATTTTATATAATTAAATACCATCTTTAAATCTCTAAGCACCCAGAAGGTATTTGCTATTTGTATTTTTACTTTCAAAATTGGTGGATATGTTTGTTTTGATACAGCACTTTCCAACAAACAGCTAAATGAGCATCTCTAACAAAGCATATTCCCCTTTCCCCAAAGATTTAGTTTATTAGTTCGTAAAAGAATACATCCTTTGATTTTAAAAGCATGAGCTGACATTGATCATTATATATGATTAAGGTGCTGTGGCTTCTCAAAATTGATTTCATTTACATTGTTGTAGTAACCATGTATGTTCTGTCAGACCTGTTTTCCTCATCTGTATCACTTCATAGAACACTTCTCCTGTTTCTCAGAATTCTTCTGATACATCATTCCTTACAATGAAAGAACATTCCATTATATGTATTTATGTACCACATTTTATTCATGCTCCAGTTGGTAGGCATGTATTTGTTTCCAGCTTTTCGTTATCACAAATAGCGCTGCTGATAAATATATACATAAATACATATATATATATATATATATATATAATATATAAATATAATGGAATATATTTATGTGTGCATATATATATATATATATGGAGAGAGAGAGAGAGAGAGAGAGAGAGAGAGAGAGAGAGAGAGAGATGCTCTCAAAACATCTACTGCAGAGTTTAATAGGATTCAGAAAGGACAAACTTTAGGACTTCCAGTAAGAAAGCTAACGTGAACAGCTTCCTGTAAAAACCCCAAGAACATCAAACAGGAAAAGTAATATTTATTTTAACTCCATTTTATTTTGAGGACTCAACTATTTGATTTTTTAAAAATTCAATTCTATTTTATTTTCAGTTCTGAACTATCTTCCCTCCTTTTTCCTACCCTCTTCCACCTAGTGAGAAGGAAAAGAAAATGAAACCCTCACAAATATATTTTGCAGTGTCATACAAAATAAATTCTTGCATTAGGCATGCCCAAAGAGAAGAAGGAAAAAGAAAGAGAAGAAAATGTTTCAGTCTGCATAGTCTGAATCCGTCAGGTCTATACATGGAGGTGAATAGTACATTTCATCTTGAGCCTTTGGAATTGTGGTTGTTCGTTGTATTGATCAGAATATGAAGTCTTTCAAAGTTCATTGTCTTTATAATACCATTGTTACTGTGTAAGTTGTTCTTCTGGTTTTGCTCACTTCACTTTGCATCAGTTCATAAAGGCTTTCCAAGGTTTTTCTGAAACTATCCCCTTCATCATTTTTTTCAGCATAAGAGTATACCATCACAATCATATACCATAACTTGTTCACCCATTCTTCAATTGATGGGCATCCCCTAAGTTTCCAATTCTTTGGTTTCCAAAAGCAAAAAGTTTATATGAATATTTTAGTACTTTCCTTTTTTCTTTGATCTCTTTGGAGATAGATGTATTTTATTTGGCCTCACTGCTCAAGTTAAAGCAAATACCTGGGTCTGAGAATTTCTAGAAAATTGGGACTCATGGAAATAATACAGTCATGAGCTTTATTGTTATGTGGCATAGCAAGCAGGCAAATAAAGCTTACACATATACACTATATGGAAACAAGGGCAGCTAGGTGATGCAGTGGATAGAGTGCCAGGGCTGGAGTCAGGAATACCTGAGTCCAAATCCTAGCTATGTGACCTTGGGCAAGTCACTTAACCCTGTTGGTTTCCATAGCTGCAAAATGAGCTAGAGAAGGAAATAGCAAACCACTCCAATATCTTTGTTAAGAAAACCCCAGGGGCAGCTAAGTGGTGCAGTGGATAGAGCACCAGCCCTGGTCAGAAGTACCTGAGTTCAAATGCAGCCTCAGACTGAACACTTTACACTTACCAGCTGTGTGACCCCAGGCAAGTCACTTAATTCCAATTGTCTTAAAAAAAATGGGATCATGAAGAATTGGACACAACTGAAATGATTCCACAACAACAAAATATGAAAATATAAACAGACAGAGGTTTCTTCCATGTGGGGGGAACTCAACCCAGATTGAGAGTGAGGAAAATGTGCTAGAAAGGGAACACATTCATAATTAGGCTTCAGGTGGTAAGATTATGTAATTTAAGAATGGGTGCAGTTGAGAACAGGTAAGCAGTTGAAGATGTTGAAGAGGGCATTCCTAATCAGCCCCAGATGTGGTAGAAAAGTTATTGGAATCACATATTGATACCAGGCTTGAGTGAAGCTGAGGTAGGGGGAGTTTCTTTACTGAAACCAGAAATAATGTTCACTATCAAAGGCAGCAAGAGGAGAATGATTCCAGGCTCCTGGAACAAGCCAAGAGTTCATCTAATCAAAAAACTGCAATCCTTCTCTACCTGATACAGAGTCAACAGTAGAAAGGTACAAACTGAATGTGCTTCTGTGGACATTAGGACCCCTTAGACTAAGGGATGCCATATTGAAGTTCTATTATTGTAAATATCGCATCAATCAATATAAAGTTTACAGTTTTCACAATAGATCTAGTAGTGATATTGTGGGGCTAAAGGCATGCTTTTAGGGCACGGATGCAAATTGCCTTCTGGAATGGTTGGACTAGTTCCCAGATTCACCAGCATTGGATTAGTACACCTACCTCCTCACAGCAACTCCACCATTTGTTATTTTCTTTGTTTGTCATCTTAGCGAGTCTGATGGGTAGGAGATAGCACCTCAGTCATTTTCTTTGCATTTATAGAATTATTCATGATCTAGAGAATTTTTTTCATATAGCTATTAATAACTTGGATTTCTTCCTCTGAAAACTGCCTATTCATATCCTTTGACCAGTTATAAATCAGGGGACAGCTTCTTTTCTTGTAAATTTGACTGCATTTCCTATTAAAAATGAGACTTTTATCAGAGGAATTCACAAGATTTTCCCCCAATCCCATTTCCTGCTTTTCTTACAGCTATCTATTTGAGAAGCAAATCCTCTGAACTTCCATTATATAATAAAGAAGTAAAGATGCCAACCACACATGTGCCTTTGCCAGTAAGATTTGACTGGAGGGATAAACATGTTGTAACAAAAGTAAGAAACCAACAGATGGTGAGTACTGGCTTCCTCTCTCTTTCCTTTCCTTTCCTCCTATTTTCCTTATTGTTAAGTAATAATTTTAAATACTGAACCAATAAGTGGCCATTTTGATTGGGTTTATAGGATCATCATCAGATCATAGATTTAGGGCTGGAAGGGATCTTGGAGGTCATCTAGTCCAATCTTCTCATTTTACAAGTGAGGAAACTGAGGCCCACAGAGTTCAGTGACTTGTCCATAGTCACACAGGTCATAAGTGACAAAAGCAAGATTTGAACTCAAGCCTCCAGATTCTAGATTCAGTGCTCTATCACTGTACTACCCTTCTTCTCCAGGAGATGTTCTCTCCTCTTTCTTACCTCTCACTTGTGCCAATTGGCAGCTCTTAGTATTATTAATTTTGGTCTCAACACATGGATCTTGTATCTGTTGTTCTCAACAGTAATTTAGCTGAGAGTTCCTGATCCTTACTCTCCTTTCCCTCCAGGATCAAGTATAAAATCATCTGTTTGGCTTTGAAGCCCTTTCAGAATAACCTGGCTCCTGCTTAGTGCTCCAGTCTTCCTACACCTTACTCTTCTCCACATACTCAGTGCACCAGTGACACTGAGTTACCTTGTTGTTCATCTAACTAGACGTTCTGTGTCCCAACTCGGAGCATTTTTTACTAGCTGTCTCCCATGCCTAGAGAACCTCTCCTTCCTCATCTCCTCCTCCTAGCTTCACTAACTTCCTTCAGATCACTGCTAACATCATACCTTCTGCAAGAAGCCTTTCTCTTTAATGCTAGTGCTTTCCCTCTGTGGATTATGATTTTCCTTGTGTGTGTATATGCATGCATGTATGTATGTATGTATATGTATACAGAGAGAGAGAGAGAGTTTGTGCGTAGTTGTTTACCATTAGACTGTACATTTCTTGAGAGCAGGGATTGTTTTATTTTTACACTTATTTGTAATTAGTATAATGCACAGCATATGTTGTTCAGTCATGTCCAACTCTTCATGACCCCTTTTGGGGGGGGGCCAGGAAGAGTTTCTTGGCAAAGATACTGCAGTGGCTTGCCGTTTCCTCCTCTAGAAGATTAAGGCAAACAGAAGTTAAGTGACTTGCTTATAGTCACACAGCTAGTAAGTGTCTGAGGCCAGATTTGAACTCAAGTGTTTCTGACTGCAAGCCTAGCACTCTGTCCACTGAGCCACCTAGCTGCCTCATGCCTACCGTATAGTAAGCACTTAATAAATGCTTGTTGATATTTCTTTTCTATTAACTACAAGCAGTACTCGGCTCTTAATGGGTTGTCAGATTCCTACATAAGTCTTAGAAATGTAAATCCCTTTGAGACAAGGATTACATTTTCTTTTTTTTTTAAATTCATTTATTTTTAGTTTTCAACAATCACTTCCATAAGCTTTTGAGTTTTAAACTTTCTACCTTCCCTCCATGCCTCCTTCCCCAAGACAGCATACAATTTGATATAGGTTCTACATATCCATTCCTATTAAACATATTTTCATATTAGTCATGTTGTAAAGAAGAATTAGAACCAATAGGAGCAACCACAAGAAAGAAGAAACAAAACAAAACAGAAATTAAAAAAAAGAGCAAATAGTATGCTTCGATCTGCATTCAAACTCCATAGTTCTTTCTCTGGATGTGGATAAGGATTACATTTTCTATGTAACACACATGCTTATCAAATCCACAGCTAGAAAGGAATCTTATAAGTCATTTAGCCTAACCTCATTTTACAAAGGCAGCAATATGGCACAATGGATAGAGTGCCAGGGCTAGAATCGGGAAAACCTGAGTTTAAATCTGGCCTCAGACATTCACTAGCTGTATGACCCTGGACAAGTCACTTAAGCCTCTTTGCCTCAGTTTCCTCATCTATAAAATGTGCTAGAGAAGAAAATGGTAAACCACTCTCTGCCAAGAAAACTCCAAATGGGGTCATAAAGAATTAGACACAACTGAGAACAACAACAAATTTTGCAAGTGAGGAAACTAAGGCCTATGGAGATAAAGTGAATTAATTATCTAAACTCACAGTGATATTAAGTTACATAACTGGGATATGGTCCCAGGACTTCTACATCCAAATTAAGTGCTATTTTCACCAACCTATTTGTTTGCAACTCAGAATATATTTTTTATACAAAACGGTGGGGGGGAGGTATTAATAATAACACATTTCTTTAGGGCTTAAAGTTTAAAAGGTATTTCCCTCACCTCAATCCTATGAATTACTGTAAATATATTCTCCCTTCTCTGCAGATAAGAGAAGTAGTGTTCAGAGGGGTAAAGTGCTTTGTCTAGGCTCTAACAGCTAGTCAGCATCAGAGTAGAATCAGGAGTCTGGTTTTGTAGAAGGAGGCAACATTGTGCAGTGCAAAGACTTTGAGCCAGAGACCTGGGTTTAAATCCAACCTCTGATGCTTATGTAACTGTGTGACTTCAAGTAAGTCTCTCAGCTTCAATTTCCTCACCTGTAAAAAAATGGGAAAATAATCCTTGTACCACATGTCATAGCACCAGATGACAAGAATGCTGTGCAAACCTTAAAGTGATATATCTTAGTTATGCTGATAATAACAGCCAATATGTATATGTTCCTTTAAGTTTTGCAAAGAAAGCATTTTTACATATATTATCTCGTTTAATCTTCACAATATCTGTGAGGTTAGTACTATTTATTAACTCCATTTTATAGATGAGGAAACTGAGGCAGGCATCACGCCTAGCATCACACAGCTGGTAATTGTCTGAGGCAAGATTCTAACTCAGATCTTCCTTTCTCTGAGTCCAACATTCTACTCATTGCACAGTTTAATGACGACTGCTCCAAGGACCACTCCACCTCTACCAGAATAACCAAGTAAAGCCTTTTAAGTCCATGATGTAGCTGAATTACAATGTTGTAATAGTATGAGAAAAAGTAATCGTCCTATGTAACAATGACTTTATGCTACTAGAAAATATATTCAGAGTTCCAGTTTGGGATACAAAGGACAAATGTCCATCCATCTATTAGGTGGTAGGTAACAGGATTCAAGAGTGGGGATACCACCCATGGTTCCAAGCCACTGATGTTAGCTCTATGCCCTGGGGTAGAGGGAAGACAAGGTTCAGAGCTGGCAGAATGAGAAGTTGGACGAGGAAGCCAGGTTTCTATCATTGAGGCAAACACAGCCTGTTTTGAGATTCTCTAAGAAGAGAAATATAGGATTGAAAAACTTCCTTCTTGTCTCTCCGCCATCTTAGACACACACACACACACACACACATACACACACACAGGAAAGATCTTGAGATTACTGAAAATATGGCTTTGTAGATCAATTACGTATAATGGTCTGGAAAACAGGAAACCTTGGGGCAGTTAGGTAGCACAGTGGATAGAACACTGGCCCTGGGGTCAGGATGACGTGAGTTCAAATCTTGTCTCAGACAGACATTTGACACTTACTAGTTGTGTGACCCTGGGCAAGTCACTTAACCCCAATTGCCTTACCAAAAAAAAAAAAATAGGAAACTTCTATCCATTTGATTTTGCCTTTGTGGACAATTTGTGCAGACTCTTGAGAGCTTACAGCTCTCATTTTGGAGTTTCTTCAGTAGTTTGAGGATTAATGCAATCAGCAAAGTGTGATTATCCAACAAGAGCATGCAGATGACCTCACTATAGAAGGAATCTTTCGTTTAGATTCTGTGCTAGATATCATCCATGATGATGATAAACACCTTTGGTGAGCATTGCATACTAGCTGTGTGACAATGATTAAGCCATTTAACATTTCTGAGCCTCACCTTCCCCATCTGTAAAATGGAGGTAAAATAATACCTGTGTGCTACTACCTTACGAAATCGTTGCAAGATTCAAATAAGCTAATGTATATGAAGAGCTTTGCAAACTTTAAAATGTTATATAAATGCCCATTTTTATTATTGTCTTAAAATATGCATAGAAGGCACCTTATTGGATGAGAGCCTTTAAAGTAGCATTCTGTTTCACAAAGTCATTTTTTTAAAATACTAAACAAATATAAGTACAGTGAGTTTTTTTCTCTATAGCTTTCAGTCCACTGGATGATTATAAAAACAGAGTCTGCAATAAAATATTATTTTGCAAAATCCTGCCTTGCAGGATTCTTTAGGATGCACTTAAAATGTATAAATTATTTTCTTAAAAATGATGGTGTAGGGTGGTAGTAATTGATATTAACTCCATGTTCTTTTTCTTATAATAATACTCATATTTATATAGTAAATGGTTGCTATGAGGTTCAAATTAGACAAAATATATAAAATGCTCTGATAAATTAAGGTGTTACACAATTGTCATCCATTATTGTTACTGGAATGATTTGGATCAATCGGGTCTCAGGGCAAGCTTTCTGTAAGCTCACTTTTCTCTCTACTGCTTCACATTGTTTTTATGATTTCCTGAACAAGATACTGAGTCTTTTGGCTCCAAGTATTTTCTCTGGCTATTCCCAATGCCCGGAATGCTATTCCTCCTCCTCATCCACCTCTTAGCTTCCCTGACTTCCTTCAAGTCCCAATGAAAATCCCACAGGAAGCCTTTCCCATCCTCTTAATTCTAGTGTCTTCCCTCTGTCAATTATTTCCTATACATGTTCTACGTAGCTTTTTGTACCGATTTGTTTGCATGCTATCCCCCCCTTAGGATTATGAACTCCTCAAGAGTAGCATTAAAGAGAAAGGCTTCTTGCAGAAGGTATGATGTTAGCAGTGATCTGAAGGAAGTCAGTGAAGCTAGGAGGAGGAGATGAGGAAAGAGAGGTTCTCTAGGCATGGGAGACAGCTAGTCAAAAGGCTCCGAGTTGGGACACAGAACGTCTAGTTAGATGAACAACAAGGAAACTCATTTTTAATATCCTCAGAGCTTAGCACCATGCTTGACACATAGTAGGCACTTAATAAATTCTTATTGACTGCCTGACTGACTTTGAACACCAAACAGAGTGTTTTGTATTTGATCCTGGAGGTAATGGGGAGTCACTGGAGTTCATTGAGTTTATATGGGGGTAGGGGGTAGGAAGGGTCGTGATATGGTATGGCCTGCATATTGTGAGGATCTAAGTCTCCTAAATAGCCTCCTATGTAGGCTGCCTAAAGATTGTCATTCTTAGCACCTTAGAAGCCTTTCTGCCAAACTGCCACCGTCATTGGAGAAACAGAACAGGACCTCGTAGCATTGAAGGCCATTTTGTATTTTTCTTTGTTTCCTGGATTGCTATGGATTTAATGGTGCAGTACGGAGGGGCTAGTCTGTGGGTGATGAGCCTCTGCATATTTAGGACATGTCTGAGTTTTTATTCACCTGGCATTACCTTGGAGAACATACTACACTGAGTTATCCATACTACAATGAGGTATTGGGGTAGGGCTATAGTGGAAGGCCCAGCAATTTTTTCATAAATTTTTACATTTCTCAATTCTCTTTGTTTGTCAGTCCTATGAGGTTCATGGGGCAAACATTATTGCCATTTTACTGAGGAGGAAATAATAGCCATAAAAAAGTTAAGCAACTTTCCCTAGGTTACACAAGTAGTGGCAGACCCAAATCTGTCCTGAACCCTAGCCCAGTTTGCCTCCCATTTGCACACTTTGTCAGCCTATGTGGAATCCAAGGTCTGCTTCTAATATATAGCTAATGATGGGAAATAATTTATTGCCATAGATAAGACTGGAGGCCAACTTAAACTTTGCTTTTCCTCAGGGTGTGTGTAGAGCAAACTGATAATAAATAACATTCTTCTCTTTTTAAATAGTGTGGAGGATGTTGGGCATTCAGTGTCGTGGGTGGAATTGAATCTGCTTATGCAATCAAGGGAGAGTCTTTGGAAGACTTAAGTGTCCAACAAGTCATTGATTGTTCTTACAACAATTTTGGTTGCAGCGGTGGGTCTACTGTTAATGCCTTGAACTGGCTAAATAAGGTATTCCATTTGTAACTTTTTCCTAATTACTTCCTATGGCTATACTTTATTTGTCTTACATACCAAAAATACAAACAATTTGCACAGTTTCTTCATTATCCTAATTTATAGAGGTTGCATATTGCCTGTGTTAAATTGAGTCATTGGTTCTACAGTACAGGAAGGGTAGTCCTCCTGACCCGTTCCCTGCTCAGGTTATACCTAGATTGGGACCTCAGTCCAGTCTGACCCTCTTCAATTTCTACCACATTTTGGGGAAGAATGGATATTGTAGGATATTGTCCAGATGACTGTGACTAAGTTGGTGAAGGGCCTTTATGTAATGTCCCCAAGGCAACATGATGTGAAGGATAGAGGGCTGGACTTTGAGTTAGTAAGGCTTGGTTAAGTCCCAAACACTTACTCGTTGTACCTGGGATATCACTTAATCTCTCTCAACCTCAGTTTCCTCATCTATAAAATGAGAGTGTTGGGCAGAGACAAGATGGCAGAGAAAAAAGCAGTAACTTGCCCGAACTCTCCCTAAATCTGCTCTAAATAACTCTTTAAAACATCTCAAAATGAATTCTGGAGTGGCAGAATCCACAAAAGGTTGGGGTGAAACAATTTTCCAGCCTAAGACCACTTAGAAGGACTTCAGGAAAGATCTACCTCACTTGGGTAAAAGGTGAGCACAGCCCAGTGCAGGCAGTGTTCAGGCAAGCCGGCAGGAGGCACCTTGCCCCAGCATAGGTCAGCAACAGAGACCCCATGGCCCTGGCACAGCAGGCAAGTGGAACAGTGAGCCTATCCTTCATATAGCAGGTGAGTGGCCAGGATCTTGGCCTCCAGCAGCAGAAGTGCTACAAGTGCTAGGTTCAATGAGGTCACTTCTAAATTACCTTCTAGCTCTAAATCTCATGATTTATGATGTTGATAATAATAGTTATTTTCAAAGTTCCGATCATTTTAGGTTTCAAGTCAATCATTTATTGTGATTTTTTTTCTTTTAGACTCAGGTAAGACTGGTGAAAGATTCAGAATACTCTTTTAAAGCTCAGACTGGATTATGTCATTACTTCTCTGGATCACATGCTGGTGTTTCCATCAAAGGTTACTCTTCCTATGACTTCAGGTAAATATCCCTGATTGTAGTTTGCTTTTTGTTCCTTGTACTCAGCAAAGGTACATATACTAATCTGTGATATGTTAATTCTGTAAAACTAATCACTGTATTTGATGCCTCCTAGTAACTTGACTGTCCATGCTAACATTAAGATATCTTGCCTGAGATCTTTTTCTCTAAAACAAATTTCTCCCTCTTACATAACTATTTCATAACCATTCGCTCAGCGGCCAATGTCCAAAATCTTTGACATTTCTCTTTCTTTCACTTCTTACATACAATTAGTTATCAAGGTCTATTCACACTATCATTGTCATACTCTTACATCTGTCCTCTCCTCAGCTATCCCATTGCAACCATCCAGGCTCTCATTATCACCCACTGAACTATTGTAGTAGCCTCCAAAAGACCTTCCAGCCTCCTCTATCGAGTCCTCTCTATTCCATCTCACTAGCCTAGTCTTTCTTTTAAATATGAAACACCGACCTGGTTCTGGCCCCTACATTTGCTATTCACTTGTTTCAGTCATGTCCTGCTCTTTGTGACCTCATTTGGGACTTTCTTGGCAGACGTACTAGAGTGGTCTGTCATTTCTTTCTTCAGGGTTAAGTGACTTACCCAGGGTCACACGGCTAATACATATCTGAGGCTGGATTTGAACTCAGGTGTTCCTGACTCCAGGCCCAACACTATCCACTGTGCCACCTAGCTGACCATCATCCTCAGCAACAATGACAGATCTTTATTTCTTCTATTCCATACTTAAGACATGAAAGATTCAAAAGCATGTATTGCTAAAGACTTAAAATTTGATATATTAGCATATAGCTACTCTTGCACTCTCTCAGGAGTATATTAGAAGTTAAAACACCAAAATGTGAAACATTTAATAGAAATGCTGCATAGCCTTTGGCTCCACACTGTCTAAATAACTCTCTAAAAGTCCATATCATCTTCCAAGTCAAGCCCAAGCTTGGGCTGACCATTCTGTCAGAGCTTATCTTCTCCAAGAATTATATTGTTAGGGAAAACTCCTTTTTCCATCAGCTCTTACTGAAGAAGCTTCTAACCTCTCAAACCCACAAGTTTGCTTCCAAGACTGGAAACATTGACCTCAGGATTGTTCTTCAGTCACTCATGCTGAGAGAAAGAAACAGAGCAGAAGAGGTAGACAGGGCCTTGAGATCCTGACACAGCCTTACCTAAATGAGCATGTACCCTCGTTACCATATGTGAGCAGCATCATAGGTGCTACTGGGGAGAGGTGTTCCTTGCAGGAACTCCAACACAAAGCACCACAAAGTCACCATATTTTCAGCAGATGGCAAGAGAGTAAGAATGGAAATTGTCTCTTCCTTTTTCACCTTTTGAAAACCAATTCAAATTTCATCTTAATGAAATGAAATCATAACAGTGCAACATTTTTTAAGTGGCTCTTTTATTACTTAAGAAAACTGGAATAGCTTATACATCTTTTACAATATAAGGTGAGTAATAAGCTAGGGTATCGTATAAAACCGAGCAAACTAGAATTGGAAATTAAGGGAATTGGGGAATAGCTGAACAACTTGTAGTATGTGAATGTAATGGAATACTTTTGTGCTATAAGAAATGATGAGCAGGTAGATTTCAGAAAAACCTGAGAAGGTATACATGAACTAATGCAAAATGAAGTGAGCAGAACCAGGAGAATCTTGTACATAGTGTCAACAACATTGTGAAATGATCACCTATGAACGACTTAGTTCTTTTCAGTAATACAGTGATCTAAGACAAGTCTGAAGGACTCATGATGGAAAATGCCTTCCACATCCAGAGAAAAAACTGATAGAGTCTGAATGCAGATCAAAGCATACCAGTTTCATTTTGGTTTTTTTGTGTGTGCTTTTTTTCTTTTGGCCTGTTTCTTCTATCACAACATGACTAATACAGATTGCATATACATAACCTATAGCATATACATTTTACATGATCTATGTATATACATAACCTATATAAAATTGCTTACCATCTTAGGGAGGGGGTCATAGGAGTAGGGAGAAAATTTGGAACTCAACTTAAAAAAAATCAATGTTTAAAAATTGTCTTTACTTATAATTGGAAAAAATACTATTAAAAAAATAAAAAAGCAAACTAATAATATGCCCAATTTGAGGTTTCTGTTCAACAGTTAGATTATTCAGAGAGCAAAGATGGCAGAATAGCAGGAAGACTAGTCAAGCTTTACCCCATGCCTTTTTTTTTTTTGGTGAGGCAACTGGGGTTAAGTGACTTGCCCAGGGTCACACAGCTAGTAAGTGTCAAGTGTCTGTTCTGAGGCTGGATTTGAACTCAGGTCCTCCTGACTCCAGGCCTGGTGCTATATCCACTGCACCACCTAGCTGCCCTTACCCCCATGCCTTCTACACATAGTTCTAGAAAATACACCAAACAGTCCTGATTGGGAAAGCCAAGAAAAAAATGACAGTAAATCATTTCCCCAGACCAGGTCAGCATAGGGTAACAGACAGAGAGGTCTGTGGGTACTGGGGGTAAGGCATGGCCAGAAGTGCTTCATGGAGGATTCCAGCATGCGGTGACTTAAAAAGGACTGTGTCTAAGGACAAGAAGAAGTCCCAGATCTATAGTGGGACACACCAAACTTGTGCAAGTCATCAGAATAGGAGTTAACTGATACCTCTGGATGCCCATCAATTGGGGAATGGCTGAGCAAGTTGTGGTATATGAATGTAATGGAATGCTATTGTGCTATAAGAAATGATGAACAGGCTGACTTCAGAAAAATCTGGAAAGACTTATGTGGTCTGATGCTGACTGAAGTGAGCAGAACCAAGAGGACTTTGTACACAATAGCAGCCACGTTATGCAATGACTAAGACTGTTAAACTGACCCCTTCTCAGCATTACAAGGATCTAAGACATCTCCAGAGGCCTCTGGATGGAAAATGCTGTCCACATCCAAAGAAAGAACTATGGAAGTCGAATCGCTCTCACTTATTTTTACCTTCTGTTGAGTTTTGTTTCATCTTTCTGATGGTTCTCCTATTGGTTTTAATTTTTACTTACAACTTCACTAATGTGAAAATATGTTTAATGGGTATGTAAATGTAAAGCCTATGTCAGATTGTGTGCCGTCTTGGGGAGGGTGGGGGGGAGAAAAAGGGAGAGAAAATTTTCAACTCAAAAGCATATGGAAAAAAAATTTTTTAAAAAAAGTTAAGATTAACTGATACCTCTGCTGCTAACTACCTAGCCACAGGGAAAACCAAGGAGGTAACCTGTGCTTAATGAGGAGTGGTCATAGACTGTGCACTGACTGATCTAAGGATAAATTCAGAGGCAAGCAGCAGCTATGTGGCTCTGACCCCAGAAGCAGAACGGAGTCCCAGCTCCTGTCTCCAGCCTATTCTTAAGCCTGTAGTAGAATAACCAAGGCAGGAATTCCAGGCCAACAGGAAGCCTTTGGTTTTGCCATTCATCAGATAGGGGCCGAGTCTAGCGATAGTCCAGGACAAAACAACAGGAGTAGTACACAGACCTTAACCCAGGTCAGGAACTTGCAAAACCCATACCAGTAGGACAATGATTAAACTTTGTGCTGGATCACATCTTTTTGGGAGCACCAAAAGCTTCCAAGTCTCTAGCCTGAGCTGTCATTAAGAACATAGAATAACTAGCACTCAGTATACCAAGAAAACACAGAAGGATCCAAAAGGACAAAAGCTCAACCAAGACATTTCTGCCAGAAATGCACAGACCTCAGTCCTAATATAAAGTCTAAAGTCAGGAAGTAAACTGGAAGACTAGGCAAACAACAACATCTACAAAAGCCTACTAAATAGAACAATTATGGTGACAGGAATGTTCAGGACACAGACCCAGAGGAAAATGCTCTACAACATCTGCAAACAAAGAATCAAAGAAAAACATAGCTTGACCACAAGTCTAGCTAGAATTCCCCAAAGAGATGAAGCAAGAGTTGGGTTTTTTTTTGTTTTTTTAAGAAAAAAAATTACTTTAAAAAGCAAATGAGAACACTAGAGGGAAATGGGAAAAGAAATGTTAAGTTATGGATAAAGATTTGGAAAGAATTTAGCTTGGGGGAAAAAAAGACAAAAACCTTGTTCAAGAAAAAAAAGTTCCCTTAAAATTGGAATTAACCAAATAGAAGTGAATAACTATAAGATAAGAAATATTAAGACAAAGTCAAAAGACTGAAAAAAATAGAAAATATGAATTATCTCATAGCAAAAACAACTAACCTGGAAAAAAGATTGAGGACAGCAAATTTAAAAATTATTGAATTATACACTATCTTCAACTTTTGTGGGCTTATGTTCCTAGAAAACAGCACAAAAGTAAAGAATGCAGATGTTGATACATTGAACCAATGGGAAATAGAGGGTTAGGTTCCCACAAACACCAAAAACTCTAATATTTTACTAGAGATTGCTGAAAATACATATATTCATAATAGCATTTTTTATAACATTAAGAAACAAAAACAAAGTAGATGTCCATTGCTTGGGGGAATGGATAAAGAAATTGTGGTACATGCATGTAATGGAATACTATTGTCCATAAGAAATAATGAATGAATACTACCGAGATGTGTGGACTGGCATACTATCTGATGCAAAGTAAAGTACGCAGAACCAGAAAACAATTTGCATAACTACAATGTAAATGAAAAAAAAAATGCCTCATACCTGAACCTGTATAATTATAATGACCAGGATTGTTCCCAAAGAAGAGATGAGAAAATGTACTTTCCTCCTTTCTTTGTAGAAGTCATGAACTATGGGTATGGAATATTATGTATACCATTGATTCAGTTAATGCGTTGTATAGTTTTGATTAACTTTTTTTGTTTTTCTCTCTTTTTATTCTCTGTTACAAGTATGGCTCTCTGAGTAAGGAAGTGAGGAATCTGGAAATGAATATTATGTAAAAACAAAAGATATCGATAATTTTAGTCTGCCTTCCAGAAACATATTGGGAATTGATAC